AATCACTCTAAAAGAGATAAGGAGCATTAGGATTCAAAGCTGCCACTCATGCATACAGCTGTCGTTTTACTAAATTATATGAAACTCGCAAGTATTTCTAATAAAAAACTGTAAAAGGCAGCTCATTTTCCCTTGTACTGTTTTCAGCTTTCATTTCAGTTATAGCATGCTGTGGGAGCCCGAGGAAGGCAATGGAGAAAAGAATCACACTTCCAAAGTATCCCTGAGGTTTTTGTCTATGAACTCTGTTCATATGACCTGGCAGCATCTCAGATTTAATATTCTGCTTATCTATCCCTAAAATTAGACAAGCACTGAAGTACTAAATAAATTGCATTTTTCAGGTGCGGGAATTGGCCTATCACATCAGAATAAGGAAGACAAATGTCCTCCAGTATTAACTGCAGTTAAACTCTAAGGCACTGGAGTTCATTAAACTTAATGGCACTGAGAATAATCATCATGTCTTTAACTTCAGGCCTAACAAATTTAACACACTGATCAAGGAATTGGCTGTTGTACAAAGATGCTAACTTATTCTGGGCAAATTTTATGATGCTGAACTAAAAAAAGGCATTTCATCATAGCATCTGTATTTCCAAATAAATGTTTGGCATTGGTAAGTATGAACTGACAAGTATTTTGCTTAAATTAAAACCTTTTAAAGAGGTTTTAAAAATAATAGTCAAGGAAAAGATATATGGAAATTAAAAAAGTCTCCAAGATGTGTACCATGCACAAGAGGCACGCTCTTCTTCAAAGGAATTTTTGCATGCTTAGCTTTTTTTGTGTGGTTGTCTAGTATTCATTTTATTATCTCTTTGATTTTTGTATACCACTCCTACTTGAGCAAAACTGTCAAGTTTGTATGCTTAAAATTAGGTTCCTAAGTCAGTAGAGCAGATGCCTATTTAATTGAAAATAATGGCATACATTAATTTTCTAACCTGTAGGGGTACTCATAACTAATTTCAAATCAGTCAGACTAGCTATGTAAATCACAGACAGTAACAGTTGTTTATACCTGCTTGTGGGGACAATAGCATATGTTAGACTTGATTTAATTAAAAAGTCTGTGCAATCAAAACCAGCATGATGCATGACACTTTTGTTCAGGATCTTTTTTTCTAAGAAATGAGGAATTTGATTGACCATGTCTGTAAATTATTTTAGTAAAGACGTTAAACTGTTCCAGATTTTCCTTAGAAATGTTTCCTTCTTGGGAATTTTCAAACTAACATATTTTCCAAATGGATAATTTCAGTTTTCTTAACTTGAAATCTTTTATGTAGACACAGTTTCTTCAAATCAAAACTTTCTTTTCAGTCAAAACCACCTTCCTCCCATGTTTTATTTTTATGAAAGTTTTTAAAATGTTTATATTGTTCAACTCAAAGTTCTCTCTCTGGAACATCTCTATGGTTGAAAGCAATTTACAGAATATTCTGCCAGAAACTGAGACCAGCCAACCATATTTGCCAGAGTCAACATCTACACAGTTTTGTTATTTGCCAAAAAGAGGAGTAGACTGTCCTTAATGGTTGCTGGAGATGTAAATGAAACATGATGAGAAATAAACGGACCACAAATGCACCCAATTCCCCAACTCTGCTGAAAAGGCAGTAGGCAGGCTATGAGAGGAAATTTTCTAGGACTTTATTCCAGCAAGACTGACCCAGCCAGAGGATAACAGGCACTGGAGTGCTTTATATATGAAAAATTCCTGTTCTTGTTTATAGGAAGACAGCTCCTGAAACTGCAACCTAAGTTATTCCTGTCTGAAAGCCACATACTATATAAAGGGGTAGGAAACCATCTCACTGTTGAGCACAAAACAGATCGAGCGCATTTGGTGGGCCTCACATTAACATACAGCTGAGCACCACTTGACAGTAACATGGAAAACTTCAGGATGCCATGGGTTGCCAAAACATGACCTGATACTGTGCATTCAGCCCTCAGGCTGCAGATTCACTTCCTTAACTAAACAGGGGACATCTGTTACTGACAACAGCAGTAAAGAAGACATTCCATTGATCTTTGCAATTGGGAGGGAGAAAAGATCTAGAAGACTAAATATAAGGCAAATGTTACTACCTCAAGAAGTCCTTAATATGAGAAATGGACATATCCTATTCCTGGAAGCAATGAATCAAGTTAAGTATCAATTTTGATCACAACTCTCCCAGAGGAAGTCTACCTGGTTGGACCAGGAAAGAAAGAATTTAGACAAGTCACATTCCACTTTATCCTGTTACAGAATCCCAGAATGGGTGAGGTTGGAAGGCACCTCTGGAGGTCATCTTGTCCAACCCCCTGCTCAAGCAGGGCGACCTAGAGCAGGCTACCCAGGACTGCATCCTGATGGTTTTGAGTATCTCCAAAGATGGAGACTCCACAACCTCCTCGGGCAACCTGTGCCAGTGGTCAGTCACCCTCACAGTGAAAAACTGTTTTCTGATGTTCAGACAGAGCCTCCTGTGTTTCAGTTTGTGCCCATTGCTCTGTGTCCTGCCACTGGGCACCACTGAAAAGAGCCTGGCTCTGTCCTCTTTGCACTCTGCCTTCAGGTAGTTACACACATTAAAAGCCCCCGGAGCCTTCTCTTCTCCAGGCTGAACAGTCCCAGCTCTCTCAGCCTTTCCTCACAAGAGAGATGCCACAGTCCCTTCACCACCTTTGCTGGACTCTCTCTGGTATGTCTATATCTCTCTTGTACTGGGGAGCCCAGAATTGAACACAGTACTCCAGGTGTGACCTGCAGTGATGACATTCCTGTTCATCCCATGACAATGTTACAGTAATGTCCTCTGGTCTGTGAAAATCACTTTTTAAACTCCACGTTGAAGGACATTTTTATGTATGTATTCCATTTCCCCTTTGCTTTCATTAATTAGAAGTACAAAGATGATGGGGAAATGGATTCTTTTTCATCGGTTACACCAAGAATAACTGATTTTAAAATGACCTTTTCATAAAGTGATTGATGCATGGCCATGTTCCAACAAAGGTAATTTCCCCAATACTTAACAACACAATCCATATAATTATTAGAGTAAGAATGTAAACCAGTTCAGTTTTAGAAATAAAACTAAGATGTGAATCCATTATGTTTTCAAGCCTTTTTTTGCCTCCTTGAAACAGCTGTATACGAAGCAACTGTAAGACTGGACAATTCTGATGCAACTATTTTGGGACCTCAGGATGAACTCTTTGGGGTTTTCTTCTTTATATGGAAAATGAGGTATCATGAAATTTACAGGAAAACAAAACCCAAACATTGTATTGAGCAATAGGGAACAGATTTAAACAAACCTTTTCCTCTTGGAGCTGCTACAAATTCCTTTTCATATATTAAAGGTCAGTCAAAAAATTAACACAAGGAAATAGATTTTGGTAGCCTAAAAGCTTTTCTGGCTGATTAACCATATAAAGCTACAATAGAAATTGTATACCACAGTTCAAAGAATTCTCCTGCAAATTTATGCTCTGCTTAGTTTATCACAATAACCAATCAGCTGAAAATTATCATAAGGACTATAAAACTCTTCCAATGAATACTACTTTGTTCAAAATCCTTGAAAAAACCTAATAAAATATCACAAATTTGGGAAATTATTTACCTGAAAACCATGTTAATCATTAGTGGATTCTAATTGATCATATTATAAGGGCAAATTCTGCTACGTCTCCCATTAGAGAACTAAGGAGGCATTATTCTTAAACTTAACTAGTGCAAAAATCCCAAGTTCTGGCCTGGACAAAAGTGGCAAACAAAAGCTGGATTTAGATCTTGCCAAACCACATAAAAAGAAAAGTTCAATATTCGTATATTGGTTTTTCTTCATGAGGACAAGCAGAGAGATATTGAGTTGTTGTTTTAGCTTTAAATTCAATTCAATATGTCTTAAATGGACACAGACCAAAATTATAGCTTCTTGTTGACTAACCACAAAACACAGCTTTTCCTTACACAACATTAAAGCACGTGGAACAAGAATTAAACCCTCTCTTTCAGTGAACAAAAACTGAACAAACTTGCACAAAGTTGTGTCTTTCATTAGAACATTTAAAATATCAAATTGAAAATATGATGTGACTCTTAATAAAGATTCTGCTATTTAAAGACAAAAATGCTGAGATGTTCAGATTAAGTTTCTGTACAATATTTAGCTCGGAACACCTGATGGATGCTGTAGTATAAAAATATTGTTATTACAATTCCTATTTATCGAAATCATTATGATTATCTGAGCATATATTCGTGAAAATTGACTGGAGAAAACCACTGTGCCTTCACCTTACAAAAAATACTTTTTCTATCTAATACATAACTGGTTTCTAATCAGCAGAAAGACAATGGGAAACATGTCTAAAAAATAAACAATAATCCTCCTGTTCCACGGCATATGAGGTTTATCAAAGTGGTGTTCCTAAAATATAGCTGATTGGATGAGAATTTCTTTGGAACACACCCATGATAAATCAGAGCTGATTTTCTTGGATGAGAACAATCTGCTCAAATAATAGTTTCCTGGGGCCAAATGGAAGGTCAGACCTGTGCAAGAAATAGAACTGTGACTACAGACTACAGATGCTACAGACACTGGGAAACCTCTGATGTATTAAGGAATTTCAGGGACAACAGATGGACATGTTTGGATCTGCTGAGCATTCGTGCTTCCCACCGAACTGTTTATTAACTTCAGGACTACAGTGAAAGTCTTAACAAAGCAAATAAACTTGCAGGACTTCTCTCCTCTTTCTCAGAGGCAACAGGCGCTTTCACAGTTTCACTGCAGGTAGGATTACAGGATGGAAGCCATAATGGAGATGTTACTCAACATAAACAGTTGAAATAGTTTATTTCTGCTTTTGCCATTAATGTGTGCTTAGGGAAACATTTCCAAGTGCAAGTGCTTAATGAATGGGAGGAATTATTGCCTTTAACAAGTAATGTAGTGTGACATTAAAGTAGCTAAAAAAGTTAAAGAACCCACCGATTCTTTTCTGCTCATAGTTTTGCTTTGAGAACGGGAGCGGGAGATTGTACTGAAAAAGGAATCCTTTTTTGATGCCGACAAAGGTGGAGATCCTGTAAATTCACGTCCTCCAGGCAAGCTCTCTATGCTTGGAGATGAACTGATGTTTTTTGAACTTTGGCCTGTAAAGCAAGTATAAAGTAACAGAAGAATTAATCAACAGGCAGTTTCTTTTCCCTGTAAATACTTCTTTGTCTTAATGGACATTCACTGAGATTCACAGAGAACTCAACACAGAATGAAATGTTGAAGTATGTCAGCATGCACTGTGAGATTGAAGGACTATTCTACCATACGCAGAACTTAATCTTTGTATGAGAGAAAAATACAAAATTTTTGTGTATATATAGACATATACACAAACACACACTATCTAGTGTATATATACTAAACTCTCTCTCTCTCTCTTAATACCATCCTAGTATATATACACTGTTATATCCATAGACTGCGGACCTTCTCTTCCCTGTGCGGCACAATGAGCAAAAGTACCACTTCACAGTAAAAAAAAATAAAAATCTGATGTCATTGACACTGCAAACGAAAACCTTTTTCTCTCAATAAATAAACTCTAAAACTTGGCAAAGGAAGCTGAGAACAAGAATGTCAGATTCCAAGAGTGGGTTGGCCACTGACCATCTAGATGACAACATCTAGACATACAACAGGAACAATTAAGTTTAGGAAAGGATGAAAGTTCTCATGCTTCAAATTTTAAGGCCATCTCCACCTAATAGACATTTTAATGAAGTCTACTCAATAGTTAGTTATTGTAATTTCATGCAGTTTTTCAAAAGAATCTAGTGTTGTCCACTATCATGGTGAAGATATCTGGGTAGATGCCTGGGCTGTTTCACCATGACACTGCATGTAGTCAGGCTGTCTTTGATAAGGATCATTTCTTTCAGTTGAGGCCGACAGAGTGTTTTGAAAGATTTAACTTTAGATTTTATTTTTATTAGCTCCAGGAAAAAAAAAAAAAAAAAGTTTAGTATATCAGTTTTCATTAACTTTCATTAAGAAAATGTTACATTAGGACAGATGCTAGTTTTAAAAATACTTTCTATTATGTGTATGAGGAAGTCAATTCAGTGACCCAACACAATTCTAAAATTTTCCATTCCTCAAGAAAAGTAGAATAGCACACAAATCAAAAGCTCTAGAATTTCCTTGTTTTGTTGGCTATTCTAATGGGTCTGTTTATGTTCTCCTTTTTTCCTTTCCTTTGTTTTTAGTGTGCTTTTCATGCTATTATCTATTGCATCAAGAGTGATCCTCTGAAACTATAACATTCAGATGTCATAGGTGCAGCTTTGTGTCCTTTGCAAGGCTGTGATTGAATTTGAAACTACCTCCCTCGCAGATGCCAGTGGTTCATTCTTCTTTGCTCTGAGCTGCTCCCACCCCCGTGCCAGTTTTTCCTCACAGATATGCCACATATTACTGCACAGACCTTATGATGTATTTAGTGTTTTGTCATTGTGGATGCGCTACCAATTCTGAAAATACAAAACTAGCTCCTTTTCCAGAATGGGTTAGTCTCCCCTTCATTATGCACTGTGGTCTTCCCTCATGATACAGGTTTCTAGAGAAATAAAAGAAAACTGAAAGACAAAGAAATGAAAGAAAATAGAGGCAGAAAAGGCTGCAGAAAACACGAAAGAAATTTAGACTTAGATACAAAAGGAAACCAGCTCTGCTGAGATAAAACATTTTGAAGAAAATGAAACAACTAGCAAAACCTACTCGTACGGAAACATCTTAACTTAATTCAGTCATTTAAGATCTAGAACAGTAACTGTCCTCAAAGTGGTGCCTAAGTCAGTGGTGCCGTGCTTGGCCACCTGCCAGGCGGAGACAAAGTCCGAGCCAAGTTCTCCACAGTGTTTGTCCTACGCAGCATACATTGCACAGCCGCAGCCACATGAAACCAGCAATTCACATTTTCTTAAGGGAATAAATACAGATCTATTTAAAATGTCCTCTTAGCAAGAAGACTGTTAAATGCAAAGAGATGGAACTGGCAAATAGAACGTCAAATGTGACAAAATGGACTAAAAAGGATAAAACCCAAGAAAGGATCTGGGTTTAATATTCTCAACGTTTTCTGCAAGAAAACTGGCATATAAACTGCTTCCCACCTTCTCCTTCAAACTCTGCTGCTGCATTTTGCTCATCTCTTCCATGACCCTCCTACATTTTATGTCCTCATGTGGACCTTCCTCTGCCTCCTCCTCTTCTTCAGACCCATCCACACTGACTCTTCTGCAACTTCCTTATTTCAACTTTTTCCTTTATATATTCTTTCCTTCCCACCAACTTCATCCAACTGCATGTTTCTGTTTCTTCACAGCCCTCCTCTAGTCACTTACCACCTACCACTTAGTCTGAACAGCTTCCTTAAAGTGCAGGAGATGGAGGCTGTAGATCTCACTTAACTTTTGCCTTCACATTTTATAGAGAAATGGGTTATGCATTAATCAGGAGAACATCAATCTCCAATTCTGTAAATAATTCTAGAGGTGGAAAGGGAGAAAACACCGCATGGCAAATAAACAGCAGAAATAATTCAGTCACAAGGAAGTTCTTAGAAGATTTCTAATTTTAGGATAAAATCATGTCACTTGGCAACACCATTATCCTTACAGTTGCCTTTATGTAAGAAGGAGACTTTTAATGCATTTTATAGGGCAATTTACAATGGAAATGTGATTTTACAGTAGGTAAACTTAAAAATAGTTTTGAAACAGATGAAACTATGTATTTTAGCCAATAAAGTATTTATAAAAGAAATTTACACAGGTAAGCCAGAGCAGCCAATATAAATGATAAACATTAAAAAAAATAAATCTATTTGGTGGCCAGAGTAAAGTACAACGAAAAAAAATATTATATTTTGGTCTGATTTTATATAAATCAAACCAAATAGGCTCTTTCCCATTCTAGTAGTAAGAAGATCTCTTCCACATAGGATCAAAGTTTAAAAAAAAAAAAACCAACACCAAAAGTTAAAACAATGAGCACTGTATGTTTTTCACATACTTTTTCATTGTATGGCCTGTGCTTAACCCACTTCACCTGCAAAGAAGAAGATTATATGGTAAAATTTCATAGACAACATTGAGAGAGGGACATTTAAAATATAGTTGAGAAATCCAAACAAATGAAATAATACAGCTTGGTAAAATGATGGAAAAATGATTTGTAAGGATTTTTTCCTATATTCTGTCTTCCAGCTCTAAGAAAAAAAGTCCAAAATATAATAGGAAATTGAAAAGACAGAGAACTCTCCTTATAACCACCGCTTTGCTTACTGAACAGCTACACTTCAAAAGAGGGATCACAGCTTAGAGGAGTGGAATATACAACTACTTGCATAACCAAACAAGAGAAGAAATATGTATAGCTGAGATTTTGTGGACAGAACACTACAACTGTCCTAAAAGGGAATTTGTTCAAATAACCACAACAGCTTTGACTAATTACTTTCTTATGGACTATAAAATATAATGAAGATGAAAAATAAAAGCAGTACAAGATGTAATGAAACTAAGATAGAGACGCAGTAAAACAGAAGTGATAAAAATACTACTTCTGTGTTTTATGTCCAGGTAAGAAGCAAGCTTAGGATGCACCTAATCCTTCTGCATGAATAAGAAAATCTGAGAAAATTATCATCAGGAAGCACTAAATTTTAATTTGGACTCCAACCCTGTGAATAGCACAGTGACATGGATTATTTGGGGATGTGATGAAGAATTAAGCAAGACAGAAAGACTAGCATTTATGAATAACTGCAGTGTGTTGCAAGTCGTCAAACAGAGTTCTTGGACTGTAATAGGCTTTTCCAATTTCCAGAGGAGTCATCATTTTTACAACTGTAAATAAGAAAGCTGAAATACAAGTCACACCAATCATACATGTTGTCCCTAATGTAACAAGAAAGCCACCTATCATTTTCTCAACACAGAAGTTTAGTGGAGCTGATGAAAGAACATTTCACTGAAGTAACTGTGATGTTTTTTAAGTCTTTCGGATGTATTATGTGTGCACTGATTTCTGAGGCATTAACAACCCTCATCTAACTTTGGAAATAACACTGTAGCACCAACGCAGACTTCAGGATCTTGGGAGGATTACACAAAATGCCATTTGTATCTTCTCTGTTGTGTGTCTTACTTATTCCACATCTTTCTTAATAAGCAGTGTGGTATGTTCTCCTCACTCAATAGCTTAACAAGAGGGCTATTTGAAAGTTTCTAATTTTGGATTATTCCTCAGAAAAAAAAAGAGAAAAATATAAAAGAACAGATCTCTTACCCTCCCTGTAGAATCAAAATGTATGAAGCGATGTAAGAAACTACAGTTAATAACTAACCATACTCATCTCCTACTTAAGCAGCTTAATCGGCAATCTGAGAACATAACTGAATCAAAACTAATTTTTCTCTGCTCATTCTATCAATCTCAGATAAACACATTATGCCTCCTTAAAAGAAGATTAGAGAAATTTAATCTCTGACTAAGATATACCAGAAGGTCCTAAAGCCTATATGAAACAGGCTGAAGAAACTCCAAACATGGAAATCAAATAAATGCTTATGAGGCACACGGAACAAATAGCTAAGGATCCCTGATGTAAGCAGTAGTCAGAACACATTACCGTGTAGGATGTCTCAAAAATACATACATTCACACTAAAATGCATAAATAGTTCACGGTAATGATGCACAGGATTTCATGCACTAGAAATACATCCAATTCTGAGGCAAACAGGAGCAGCGTTAGCTCCATGTGCTGGCTTCCAACTGGCTCACGACTTGCCTGTTGCTAATGATAATGGGGCTGACCCCAGGCTCACAAATACTCTGTCTCAAATTCATTTGGAAAATACTGATGAGGTAGTGGGAAAAAGGACCAAACTGTTGGTATTGCTGGCAGGGCCGAGGGTGGAGACATGCAGTGTCTTGAAAAGAAGGAGGAAAGTTTAAAAGTAATGTGATCTATTGTAATAAAGTAAAAGATGACAAGAGGAGTGAAGACAATGAAAGAAAAGCAAGCTTTAGGTCTTACTAAGTTAAATTATAAGGCACATAACCGTGAACTTTGGGGGTCTCTACCAAAGTCTATGGGAAGTCAGAGGAAGAAACATAAAAGGCCTATGAAATTAATGGCTCATTCTGTTTGGCCCCTATACAAGAAAAGAATAGTTTTCATAGTTATAAGGAGAGCAAGGACAAAGATAGTGAGAAGAACAGAAGTAAGGCATGATATATAATTCAGAATCATTTAGAGCTGCTCATCTATTACTCTGTATTGGCCGTAGTCAGGATGTGGAGTATTAAAATATGCAAAAAGAATGATATGAGTTTTATAAAACTTTTCAGATTTATTAGTTTCCCTTTCTCTCCTCCACTGAAATTGGAACAAAGGCTTCTAGCACTTCTAAAATTTATTCAAAAACCATCTCATCACATCAATCTGTATGCTTATGCTTATTATTTCAGGCCAAGGCAGGTAAGGTCCTCTCTAGTCAGGTGCGTTAAGGTAGATGTCTAGCTCAAAACGCCTGCCTCAAATACAACAACAGGAAAGCAACGCAACTAAAAGAGCCACTGATGGTCGAATTGCCCCACACGACACAGAGTGAAATGGACTACGAAGTACAAGGCAAATACACATTTCTGACGAAGACAGATGCCGGCATACAGCAAATGTGACTGAAGGGCCACACACAGCACAGTCAGGGAGCGATGAGGCGGAGCCGCTTTTTTCTCTCTACACAACAGTGCCACTCGGCGGATGGACAATGGCGGTGGATGGAGAAGCCACGCATGGGAAAACCCGCGGGGGAGGCTGTGCAGGCCCTGCTGCAGGCAGGGAGGGCCCCGCTGCCCCGCGGGAGGGGAGCCGTACCTGGGAGGGCAGGGGGATGCTGCGTGGGGCCCGGCAGCCCCGCATCGCCGCCCGCGCCTGCCTCGCCTGGGGAACAAACAACAGCGTTAGAAGGTTGCCCCAGAAATGCAGTTCGCTGAAGTAAAGAGCGGCAACTTCGGGGTTTTCACCCGGAGGACCTTGCTTCCAACACAAACGACATGGTAAAGAGAGCGGTGTAAGAGCAGGCAAAAAGAAACGGGAAGTTTCAGTAATCAGGGCATCATATGCTGCATTCTGATGTGCAAAAAGTCTCTTTTTCAGAGACTAATTTGTATCAAATCTAAACAAAACCAATCAAAACCATTTTGTTTCTGGTATTTTACACTGACAGTGCCATTCTGCTAGTCGGGAAGCATCACATTCTTACTGTCAGTAAAATTTCATTGTTGCCTAAGAAATGTATATTTACATGTTTTTTAAAAAGGAAAAATAAAAGCATTTGTTAATCGGAGTTTTATCCCTTTGACTTTTATTCAGTTCTGCCCTCAGTAAGGACAACTTCTTTTTCCTTCTGAAAAAGCATACTCATTTTCTGGACACAGTTCATAAATAATTCTAAATATGGAGATATTTTCTTTAGGGCATATTCGGTAACTGTGGAAATTCTGTTCATGTTATAACAAATACCACGGAAGTATCAACTCATATAAACAAACAGCAGTCTGGAAACTCTTTAAATAGCCGAACACAGTTTTGGCAGAACTTAATCTTCAGACTGGTCCTCTAACATGTCCTTGTGATAAAGAACCACTCAAATCAAAAGCCTTTTGGGTTTCAGGGTGAAAGGATATAGAAGGAAAACTATCTGGCACTATCAGAAAAGAAGTTCTGGCATCACACTGCTGTTTGGTACTCAAAGAGTAACCAGTTTCTGATCGCTCAAGAATCCAGTGGAACACAAAGGGCAACAGTTTTGCTTTTTTTGCCTATTTTTTCATTATCAGTATTTTTGTCTTTCAAGACAATGAACTCACAACTGACAATTCAATGAACTTGGAATTACAGGGTTGCAATTATATATATATATATATATATTTAACATTATTCTGCTGTTTTTCCATTTACATTATCTAAATTATATACTTTTTTATTAAAGAAATTCAGCAAGCACCAAAACTTCGGAATGAGAAATAATTACTATCGATTACGTAAACCAACCATCCCTCATCTAAAGTACAGCACAAGCTACCCCTGGAGGTGGCAGCACGAATGACACCTGTCACTGCTGCTGGTTTGGGAGTGTCTGTCTGAACAGAGCTGTTAAAACAGGGATAGGATTATTTTGCCAGTCCTGAAAGATATTTTGTTATGAAGGACTCCTTCACATTCAGTAAAAAAGTAGATTAGTCAATTAATGTAATATCTTCAAATTTATAACCCTCTACATGTTAATTTAAATTAATTTAATTTAAATTATCAGCACTACTTGAGCATTCAAAACCTGAAAGAACTAATATAATATGAGAAAAATGGATATTTCTTTCATGATTTGATGCCTGTCAAATTTACACTTCAGTCTGTTATACTGTTCAGCTGACCATCTGTGACCGGTAGATCAACTCGAAGTGCAAATGTCTGTCAATTTAAATCCTAAATCTGTGCCTCTGCCTACCTCAGCTAAACAGCCAGGCTCCAGGAGGTTGAGGAAAGCTGAAAACACAGTGAAGAACAGGAACATAAGACCATTAGTGACAGCTACTCAGTAAGTGGGAGCCTCAGTTGCAAACCACACCGAATAAATGCTCAAAAGCTAGAGGAGAATCCAGAGTTTGAAAAAAGCCAGTGCAGAAGGTAAAAAGGCATATAAAAAGTTCAGCACAAACAGAAGTGGAATAAGAGCTTCTCAAGGTATGGTTATATTCTAAATCCTAAATCCTAATGCCTGTGACAGAAGTACCCACAACTTCTCAGAGCTGTGGGGAGTGTCCTTGTTCACTGGAGATGCTGTACAGCACCTTCCTGAGGTGGTGATACTGTCCTTCTGCACAGAACTGAACAGATTTATTCTCACTTTTAGTGTGATGGAGATGGTGCTAAGTTGTTTACAAAGGTATCTGCATCATACTTCAAAAGGGTCTTTTTAATCTGTCTCTGCCACAGCATCATTGCAAACAGGGAATTTTTTTGCTAAGCTATTCCTACACTTAAACAATTCAGAGAGAATTCACTAGGCAGCAGCTCTAAGAGACTATATTTCTATTACCTATTGGTCTTCTCTTTAAAAATATAGGTTACAACACTTGTAAATGTATCTAGCTGCCATCATTCACAATATCTATCCAACTCTAGGCAATATACTGGTATCCGTACACGTTTGGAACAACAATGGCACTGATGTGTAAAACAAAAGTCACTGTCACCTCAACTGATTAAAAAAAATCATATTTACATTTTGTTGACTTTAAATTACTTCTGCAAGTTTTGTACCAAATATGGACAAACAGAATAGGGCGAGAGAAAGCTGAGAGTACTGAAGCACTGCATTAGGTTATGTTCCCTCTTATCATGAAAATTCTTTGTGCCCTACATCAAAAATTCACATAATTTCTCGATAACTTTACCAAATCTCCATATTCCTGATGATATAGGAATATGTGCACAGTCTGTACATGACAATGACCAAATAACCACATTTTTTTTATTCTGATTCTTATATGGAAAGTGTCAAGTGTATTTCTGGATGATGCAACATGTTAGTTGGCACATACAAGTGTAAACAGGGTCATCCTTGACCAGTTAGATCAAAATTAAGCAACAATTTATTCCATCTATAGAAGTTGCTTCAAATTTTACATTTTTTTTTTTACTATTAAGTAGGGTAAAGAAAATAACCATTTGAGGACCACTTTTCAACCCGAAAAGTAAAAAGACAGGCATGTGACTAGGGAATAACAGAAAACTTTTTTAAATACAGCAAACAAAAGAGCCTTTCCAAAAGTGTGAAAATGATTCCGTTTCACACCTAATTTTACTTCCACTGACGTGAGCAGGATTTTCATTAATATTTCAAACAGGCCTATACATGGCAATAGTAACTACAGATCAAATGAGCAGAGAAATCACTGTGTTTCAGCTTCACATTTGCACAGTATCAATGACTGTAAAACCCTTGTTGGAGCAATTTTTGGGATTGTTCTAGGGTCCTGAGAAAGGCTGCACATCTGGATTTTGCCAAGCAGCTTTAGTTGCCCTTCCAAAAGTGTTGCATCTTTCTGCTTCAAGACAACAGTTGTGCCTCTGAATTCTGCTCCCTCAGTGTCTGCTGGGGATGCGATGCATCATGAAAGGACGAACTTTGCACCTTATGGGTCAGGTCACCAACTTCATCTACAGTGTATTTCCCTTCCCTTACACTTTCAAATCTGGTAAAAAATATGATGCAATACCACATAATGGTTCAGGGCAACCACCACCAGTCCTCAAACTTAAAACCATTACCTAGGATGAGTCACTAGAAGCAACAAGACACCATATCACTCTACATACTCCTTGCAAAGAACATACCGCCAAAGGCTGTTTGAAGATGAAAAATAGCAACACACCTTGAGCCTGGCAGAGTATAGGAAACAACTACCCAAGCTGAGCTTGTGACTTTGTGGTTTGAATAAAGTGTCCTCAAGAAATATAAAAAGAAGGCTCAAGAAAAAGTAGTGTTTACTAACCAGAGAAAGTGCAGAGGGCCATCACAAATTATTAAAAGGCAAATACATGTTATTGTTCCAGTAACTGCTCAATTAAGCTCTACACATTGTGAAAGGAATAAGATTTTGCTTATTCAGAATTACTCTGTAATTGATTTAACTTCCTTCACTCATATTTAGTTAATGGTGTTATGCATAGGATTTGTGCCAATAACCTAAAAACCCTCTGTGAACTTAGCCTTACAATTAAAAATATGTTGCATTTAAGACTGAAAAATTAATTGGCTAATGTTTATGGCAACGATGTAGTTTGTTGGTATGTCTGATGTAATTTGTAGTTAATATATTTTTAAAGGTTCTAAACTTCCTATAGCATCTGTACATTCTTGAGATAACATCTGATTGCGTATTACATTGCAAACATGCTGTTATACTTAGCACAAATGTACTGCTTAACAAAACTCTGTTTTTTTCTGTTTCTTCCAGACATGTACCCATCGATATAAAATCAACAAAAGGACTTTCTTCAGTCCTTAAAATGCATACAAAGCTTCCCTCTGCCACGGCACTGCCACACGTTTCACCTTTACCTTTGCCCAGCTGAACTGGCATGCTTTCGGACTTCATCATTCTCTGCTGCTGTGCCTGGTGGTGATGCTGGTGGTGGTGGTGCTGGGGGGCTTCCACGGCGCTTCTGATGGGCAGTGCAGGGGGAGGAAAGCTGCTCCCACTGGCAGGAGCACCCACAGTCCCGCCTGAAGCCATAGCCGGAGCAATGAGCTTTCGGCCAAAATTCAGTAAGCTGTTGGAGACTTTGTTAATATTCAGTGGGGCAGCCTTAGCACTGGCGCTGAAAAAAGAAGAGTAGAAATCATCACATCCTTGCCCATGGTTTGGACAGGCACAGCAATGGATGCATTGTTCCCCAAAAATGAGGGGAAAAAAAATCGAAGATTTGAACATTACAAAGAGGGTGTTTTACTACAGTAGCACTAGAACGCACAGAGAGACTGCATGGAGCGAGTTTTTCCCAACCAGCAGTGGACAAATTGTTTTGGCCCTTTCTTCCTGAAAAATGCAGATTAACCCCAAATACAGCAAGTTTGTACCAATTTTCTTAATTTGCCTTTTAAAATGAACAAAATGAGAGAGTGACAAAAAAGCAGTACAGGCTCTAAAGCATCAAAAAAATTGTAAAACTTCCTTTTTGCACTTCTTATTCAAAGACTGCTTTAATATTTACTTCTGCTAGATTAAATTATCTTAAATGTTTAAAATAACTCAAACATTTCTTTCCGCAAGCAAAACTAACACTAGTCTGTATTTTTAGGTTGGCAGAACTAGATGTGTCTTGCTCTAACTTCAGCTTCTGCCCAGCCCAGCCATTTCAAGCCAAGCACTTTTAAATGGGAATTCTAAAGTGATTTTGGTTGAAGAATGGCTTCAGGATATAACACATATACTGGATCATGATCCTTATCATTGTTACTTTTTATTTTTAGCTACGTGGCTATTTAATTCTGTTATATGCAACATTAAGAATGAGAAAACTGTCGAACCATTTAATCTCTCTAAAGGCAAAGCAGCTTCTAACTCCCAGTAGAAGTGTTCACATAACCCAGGGATCAGCAAAGCCATTCCTATGTGTTCATGCAATATTTTCCTGTTTTATATAATTAATGCTTGAAATACCCTTCACAGAAATATATCACTGTCACAGAGACCTTTCCACTCCTCAGGTTTTATTTTGCTGATCTATACTTCAGCGATATAAATAGCTTCTTAAAAAAGTTTGAAGAGATACATGTAATTAAAAACAATACAGTCGTACTGCGGAAAAAATAGTTTTGCAATGTTTTGGGGAAGTTTAACTAAAAATAAGCTCCAAATGAATTAATATGGGTGACTTGTAACTTGCGCAGGCACCTGGAAAAGTAATTTTGATTTTGCTTTTCATACCATTTCCCTATTTGTCTCCAGATAGGTTTTTTTTAGAATATACAATATAAATGCGTGTACACATATAGAACATATCCAGAAAGTAACAACAGCTGAGTTGTTTAGACTCAGAATAGATACGGTTAAAATGAGATACAGCAAAAGGAAGTATGTGAGCCTGCACACTCACAAGATACAGCCCCAGGCTGTACGGGGTCCTTCTGCCATATACTGGTGATGGAGAAAGACAGCATGTAGCATTTTTTAGGAAGAACAGCAGCGCAGAGACAGGGACAAAGTACTGCTTCCCAATTTATGGAAGCTGGAAAGGAATGATTGCTGAATAACAATTACAGGATGTTTCTGTGTCTCCCCATTTTATTGACTGCTGATGATGTTACAGAAGTCTTATGTAACCACCTGAGAGTAACTGACAAAGTCACTACAAAGAGAGTATCTTCAGAACTATAAAATACTCTTGCAGGAGTCCCAAATGGTTTCAAAAGCAAATCGAATAGGTCCCAATGACTTTAAAGAAGAGGACACTGTAAAAAGCTTATTACTATTCAATTTTACTCTGCTACTACTACCTATCAGATTCAGTTATTAATCAGTTCCCCAAAGTATTGCAGAGACACTTAAGAAAAAAAAAAGGGATTTTTTCTATTCCATCACATATATGTTGCAGAACAAGAGTCAGCACAGGGCCTTTGTTTAATGTCTTCTCCATTCCAGAAAGAAACTGAAGACTGTAGCTTTGAAGGTGGAAGAAGAAATGCCAAATGCTGGTTTAGCAGATATCGATCACTAATCAACAGTTTGCAATGAATCTATTTATGTCACTGATATTGGGGTTCATACCAGTAAAAACTTGCTTGAAATTTTGAATCCAAACTTTGGTATATTTGGTCTATTTTTACCCCTCAGTCTACTAATCACCAAGATTGGGGTGGTATATATCACTCACCTGAAAAATCACCTTAGAAAGAAGATAATGGCTTGCAGATTGAGTCCTAGGTTTGTGTTGTCTCTAGGTCTAGAGCCTTGACAATCAGTAAAAAACCCCATGACTTTGCACAAAAAATTATATTTACTGGAAGTGAATCTTTTTTTCTGACATGCTACCTGATCAACAAAGGCATTGGATGCTTTGAGCTAGCTGCATCATTGGAATCATGATGGTCCACAGATGCAGGAGACAAAGCTTGTGTATTTGTGTCCACCAGCTTGTTTCTTTCTTGCTTTTTTCCAGCTATACTTTGCTTAATAAAAAGTGACAGTTTTCCTTCTACAATGTTTAATTTGCTGCTTTGACATATATGTAAACCAGGAGAAATTAGTTTACTTGCATTTTTCAGATGGTCAGAAAGAGACTTTGAGAAACTTCAATTTACAGGAACAATAAACACCAAAAATCTTTAAGCCGTTTATGTCCGAAATATGATTTTAAAAAGATAATAAGACAATAAGACAAAAAAGACAATAACATGCAGTAATGTTTTATAATTATTTGAGTACTAGAAAGGATAGTTATTGCAGCTCCTAATACCTATGTGTGATTTAGCTCTACTATGAATTGACACTGCTAATGATCAGCTCAGAACACATACACGAAAAATAAATAATGAAGTTATCTAAATTTCTTTTCAAGAGGTTGTTTTAATAAAAGTATTCTGAAGTAAAATTTATTGTGCAATTTCTCGGAATCACAGCTTCAGAAAATGAACAATAGTGAGGTGCTAGATCTCTGGAGGAGGTGCCTTAAAACTGAGCTGAAGTTCAGGAAAATAACAACAATGTATCTATTTCTTACATTTAAATGTCTGATATATTAATGCAAAGGATGATTACAGCCATTAAACACGGATCAATGTCTACATTTTAGCCATCTAAATGGACCAGATATGCACAACAATTACAAGAAAAATGCTGATTGATTATGTTGTAGAGTTACCAACAGATGCATTTAAAAGCAGGGTATCAGTTTAAAAATAAGAGTATCAAGGAGACGTGAATTCCATCTATGAAGCAAACAATTTTGTTTCATCACAATAAGCATCATTGACCTTGAATGTGAATGGTGTATTTTTAAACTAGCAGTAGGAAGATGATTCAATCTCTGCAGTTTTCTGCTAAGATGAAAATGTTTTGTTTTAAGCAAGCCTTATTCAAAGGCACTTCTCTCTTCAGTAAGTAGCCATTATGAGAGATGAGAGACAAATATATGAATATGATGGATTAAAAAGTTTTATATGTGATAAAATAAGCAATATATATTAGAGATTTGCCAAGATATTTTAAATATATCATTGAGCCTGTGGAATTAAAGATGAAAAAGACGTGGAAGCTGATCTAATCCATCTCCTTGCTCACTGCAGAGACATTTCCTAATGTTACATCTTCCAGTTCTCTCTTTATTCCAATCTTAAATAGATTTATCACATTTGACCTATTTTAAATGTTCTTCTGTTGAGATAAATTTGTCCTAGTTATTCCTCTATCTGAACTATTCTAAACAATTTCTCCTCTCCTTTGGTGTGTATACTATGTGTGCACTGAATTTATATTCCTACATAGATTTAATGGACATTTGTTTCCTTACAATTTAGGTTTCCATCAGGTGTCATTCTTGTCTGGGCTTTATGATTTATTTATTTTTTCGAGAACTTTGAAATGTTTCTTTTGGAATTTTCAAATTTTCAAGTTTAGGCAACTCTTGAGACTATTTTTTTTTAAAGAATAAATAAGTAAAAACATTAAGAAAATGTAATAGAATGCAGTAATTTTCAACACCCTTCCCTGACTTTAAAACTTTGTTTAAAAAAAAAAGATGCTTTTGCAGTCACTCTACTCAGTTTTAATTTCTACTCAGTTTTAATTTCTGCTCATTTCTGCATTTTTAAGAGCTTTTTAATCTACTCCATTTTAATTCTAGCTTTCAGTGTAACTGATTTAAACAGAATTTGACAGAGGTGCAAAGGTCTAAAAGCCAGCAAGTTCCCTTGAATCAGCAGGCACAGCATATGGCTGGGGCCACGTGCAATCCAAGAAACTGCCTGTGACAGTATAAATTGAAGGAAGGCATTGTGTCTTGCACTGACTTGCCCTGGAGCCACCACTCATGTTGTGGCCACCCAGTTGGGGCACGGACACCTCTACACCAGAAAAAATGGCCTTGACAAGGAATTTAAGCAGTATTGATACAACCATTTCTAAAGCAAGGGATGAATGCTGCAAAAAGGTTGAGTAAAAATGACTTCACACTGGATTTATAGTAATTCAATTTAATTTACACAGCTTCTGGTAGGTGGATAGTCCAGATTGTGATTAGATGCATTATCAGAAGTAGTTCAGAACTCACTACAGAACTCACACTGGCAATATTTTACCCCCTGCTTTGTGTACAAATGTCCTTAGCCTTAAAAAAATGCCAGCAAGATGACTGCAACACTATCTGTAAAACTTTCATTTTTCATGTAATAATAGGCAAGGTGAAGATTCAAATTAAATGTCATGAAACAACCATATGTGTTTCTAATACTGCTTCTGTAATTCCTGTTTGGGATAAAAGTGGCTTCTGAAACGTTTTGTTTATGTAAGGTCTTAGTTCAGTGCACATATATGCAGAAATAGCTTACCGGGTTTTGTTCATCAAGTCTGCTCCACGTGCTTTGTAATAATCTAAATTTTGTTGGAACTGGTGAGTCACTGGTCTTGGATTTCTCTAAAAAAAATTAAAAAAATTAAAAAAGAATACCTTATTGGAATTTTCTGAGAGATTTAAAGCAGAAGCAAGAAGTATGTTCATTAATGAAGATCAGAAATTTAAAAATCAAAAGAGCAATTTCTTTTCCCAGGATCTTGGTTTCTCAAGGCAGTAATGCCAATTGCATAAAAGTGAAGTCTTAAAATAATACCAACTGTTGCCAGTGCAAGTCCACTCCGTGGTCACAGAAATTAGTGTTCTTCCACACAGCAATAAGGCTGTTGACTGTAGTGGTAACATTTCCAATTAAATCAAGTTCAGATATTGATTGATTTCTTCCTTTAGCTCAGGTATAGAATTTTACCACCTCTAATCTAAAGGTGATGTGTTTCTAAAGAAAACTGTAACAGTAAGGAGAAACTACAGCTAACATTTTGAACTGAATGCATCACTAGCAGTGTCTCGGTTAAGCAAAGAATTAAATTTAGTGAGGCAACCCGAACACTGCCACTAGATGGCACACAGAGCCTTTTCTGTCTCCAAATTTCACCCTAATCAAACCAGAGGCCACAAATAAAGAACTCTTCTATAATAAAATGTATATAATTAATATCGGAACCAGAAGCCACTTGTTAGTCTCCACCTCTGCCACAATGAAACTATTTCACTGAAGCACGGTACCTTCAGTAGTGCTGAAATAATCCTTTTTGGATCTAATAATCCACTGAATATTGATTAACTGTAGACCACAGTGTATGCATAAAGTATCTTTCTTGATCAAACGAATGCATCCTGAAGGATATTATTTGGAGGGGGAAGTAAATATTTTTAAGTAAAAAAATTTGCATAGAGATGAAACCAAAAGAACAGAGATGTACAGAGAGAACCTTTTAAAATATATATATATGTATAGAGAGAAATTAGAAATGACTTAAAGTAAATCATTTCTAGTGTAATAGAAAAAAATGGTAAATTTCTGCATAATGTTCAGATTCATTGTAGAAAAAAGATCTAAATACTTTCCAAGTAGTTGCTTTAAAGGTTTATTAATTTATAGGCTGTTATCTTACATTCTGATCTGCTTTCTTAAGTCTTGTAGTAAATACAGTTTTAATGAACTACGCAATGACCTTTCTGAACTAGTTGTTCACAGGTGAACGGAGGCAGTCTTCAGCTGTTTTAGTTTCACATGTTGTATTTTTGCCCTTCACATTTCATTATAGACTGGAATATCCATAGTGTTATCCTCTCATTTTCCACATAACTGCAGATAATCCTCCTTCCTTGGAAACCTTATTTTCAGAGGAGGATATAGGAGTTACATTTTAAAGACCAAAATACTGCACGTGCACAAAAGGAGAGACGCAGATTTAAAGAAGAGTTAAGATATCAAAGGCCAGGATGATTTCTGGGGTCAAATTTAAGGCTGGGAATTTCCAGATCGTTTCCTGCAGTCAGACTTAATCTTGTATGAAATGTCTCATTTTCTTTCTTTGGACACATGTTAAACCTTTTAAAAATATATCCTGTTTGTAATGTTCATTAAAAAATAAAACAACTAAAAGCTATTAAACAAGCATAAAAGAAATCCTCATCTATCCTACCACCCACATTGTAATGGCCGCTGTACGTTTTTCCTCTCCTGTTATAAAAACAATATTTGCATAACTCTACCCCTTCGTATGGCTTGTAAGTCAGTCCTCATCAACTGACAGCAATAACAATGAATCAGCTTTAGTTACTATTGCTCTAGTTTGGTAATTCAATGCATTTCTATGATAATCAAATCCAAACTGACGTGATGAGGATAACTGATGGTTCTGTGACTACTATGCGAGTAATGAAACAGTGTAACTTTTCTCCCATGAATTAAATAACTTTTTTCTTTACATATCTTGATGACCATTTTGACAAGGTGGAGGAGTAATAGATAGTTAAAATAACGGGCACTTTTAAGTCAGAAGAGAGCCTCTTGAAAAATTCGCTTCGCCAGATGTTAGCCGGTTTTGCAATTTGTTTCCAATAACTCTACATATTTAAACTTAGCAAAAATACTGGATTTTTTTTTCCACAACCCAACAAACAAATAAATAAATAAATAAATAGATTATTACACATTGCTTCTGGATAAAAAAAGAGAAAAGGATAATGTGGAACAGTATCTTGAAACATATTTATGCAGAAATGACAAGCAATTCAACACACAAAAGGCTGATCTACTATGTAAGCACTTAAAGCCATTAATAGGAATAATGATCTAACTGGAATATATGAATGAGGCTCAAGCATTACTTTCACAGGGGCCTATTTAAATTCCTGTGAGGTTTAAAGGTATCAAAGGAAGAAGCAGTTTAAAGTACTATTACATGCAGTGAAAAAAAAGCCCTCAGAAAAAATGCCGTTGAAAAAACACTAGAAATGCAAGACCATAAAAACCAAGTATTACTGCTGCGACTCCTTTTGTAACACTACAGAGGTATCCTTCTGGAAAATTTCATTATTTAAAAAAGCAACCTGATGTGTATTAGCAGACAAGTATTTGTGAAGTATCACCACAGAATAGTTCTGAAAACGGAAATTCTGACAGCAAAAAATATGGTTTTATGAAGATTATGATTTCTATCTTATTGTGACTGTCCTTTAAATTTTATATTCTTTTTTATAATTTCAGCAAGTGAAATATAAGTTGCAGAAAGGGAAACCTACACAATTACAGTGTGTCTTTCATTTTAGTTTTAAACTAATTCCCCTCTCTAAGCATCCAGTTTGAGCTGTCCCCTCTATTATAGTCCATGTATTAGGACTGAAGACTAAATAAATTTATTTACAGCAAAACATAGCTCTGTTGTTTAAAATATTCACAGTATCCACATTTTTTTCTACACAGTGCAATTTAGAATGATCCTATTTATTACTTAAGCAAGTAAAGTTTTTCCTTTTTTTTAAATTTATGTAATTATTTTGATTAGTACCTCAGATAAAATCTTTTTTCTTAAAAGGATAATGTTAAAATGACAGTGAAATCAACCCTTCAAATCAGTAGTTTTTTGAGTCTCCCTAAGAAATTGTGTGAAGGCATTATGCAGAATAATGTTTTCCTATTCTAAGGAAAGAGAGCACAGAAATCATAGAGAAAAGCTGTCTGTGCCAATACTAGAAATCCCTGTTCCCCACACCCATTTTATAGAAGCAGACTGCTGGTTTTCTAATTCTTCTAATATTAATTTCTAGCTAGAGAAAGCTTAGTTTCAAAAGCCCGGTTTCAATTTATACTTTTAAAAGGACAATGTACAAAATTCAGATACAGAAGCACACATAGAAATTCACTTGATTTTGGACTCTGTCTCTTCCAAATGTATTAGCCACAGCCCAAAGGGAAGAGATGCTTTAAAATGATTCAGGTATCTCTGAGGTACTCCTGTCTCTGAGCCTTTCCTTGTGTAAAAGATGCTCCCTCACCCCATTTGCCTGCTGAAGTCCTATCCCCCATCCTCCTGCTTCTGTTCCCAGCCACTACCAGACTGATTCACTCCAATTCCCATGACAGGCAGGAGGTTCTTGGGGACTTTCTATTTGTTTTTTTGCTCCTCCAGGGACACGGGGATGAGTTAAGTTATACACATGCCTGATCTTTCCCTAGGCGGGGGAGCTGCGGCTGTGGTCAGAATCTCACTGAACGCGGCAGAGTTCCCTAAACTTGCATAAACCGCAGAAAAGCAATTCTCACCAGTTAAGGATTGTGCTCCATATGCTCAAATTCCCTAGTATAACTCTCTTCCTCCCTGGCCTCCAGAGACATATCACGTCACATTACCCATGGGGTAGATATGATAGAGCACAGCACGCCTGTGCATGACAGAAGTCACAGGCAGACTGTTCTACAACATACCAGGAAAACCAGGTTACTGCTGCAATTTAATGTTTCACCATCTGAATGCACATTATTTGTAAAAGTTTACACGCAGGTGCAAGAGGAGGAATCTCTACAACACACTTTTTTCTTCTTCGTCAAGTTATATCCTTTCCTCCCTCTTTAGTATTATTAACAGAAAAAAAAAAATCAGATACAATTTTGTGCAAAATCTGAAGGTTCAGAATAAGCGACAACAATGAAAGAAGATTTTCAATATGTCTGATGAAAAATGAGACTTATTTTAGTGAACATGCTATTGCCTCAACGCCAAGGGAAAAGCACTCGTCATTAGAGAAATGAATTGCTCAGCTGTTTATAAGCAAAAAGCTCTGGGGGAATTTCTCAAGGCCCAAACCACAACGCATTGCAGGGTTACACAAACATATGTTGCAGGTGTTTTAGGGTAGACAGGTGGGAAAACCTCAGCTACTGAAAAATACACTTAATAGATTGTATCTGAAACTAGATAACCTAAATGCAACAGAGAAAAAACAAACAAAACAGCAGCAGTGAATTATACATACACACAGCAATAGCCTTACCAAAATAATCATCTCACTAGTGCCAAACAGGATTTTTAAAACTAGGCTTTTTTCAATATATTAAACAAATGCTGTCAAACATATATTTTTTCTAAACTAATAATATTTTAAGCCTAAACCAAAGAACAGACTGAACTAAACATATCTAAAAAAAGGAGAAGGATAATGATGCAGTGTTGTTCTTTTTATTTAAACAACTATTTTTAAGGAGCCAGTTTGCTCCTTTTCCCCCTCTTTAGCTGATAGGGCAATACTGGAGTTTTTTATAGTTCTCATACAGCCTAAGACATTTCTGTATTAAAAAATCCTTTCATTTGTTTCTAATGAAAGTTGGAAGAGCATATGACCCTATATTCAGTAATGACTGGGAGGTCAGCAAAGGTTTACCTTTTCCTGCTAGATTACCTATGCTTCTTTCTTGAGTAAACATGATACAAACATGGCAAAAATTTGGACTGAGAACAGAGCTGAGATATAGCAGCTGAGATGTGAATAAGAAATACAGTTTAATCAGTTGAGCAGCGGTTTTTCTATTAGGCACTAATAATTAATATGAAGTGCAT